AAAAAAAAAAAAAAAAAAAAAAAAAAAAAGTGATATGATCCAGATGGCTAGTTTTGAGAAAAATAATTTTTTCTATAGGTACCTCTCTCTTCTATAGTCATCTTAACACTAAACTTTGAAAAATACTCCAGGAAAGAAATCTTGAAAGATTTTACGTTCTAATAGAGCTCATTTAATTGAGTAATAGGGCTAAAATAGTGATTTGGGTGAGAATTATCTATGTTGTTGACAAGAACATATTTAAAAATAAGAGAATTATATAATATAAACGTGTTAGGTAGGATTTCATCACAGACTATCCTTGTCTAAAATATTTGAAAGTCATTATCCTTAAGCAAGATAGATTCCCAGCTTCCAGAAACAAAAGCACAATTTAAACTTGTATTCTCGGTTTTAATACGAAAACCAAAGCTAGGCATACATAACTTTTGGCTTTGGCAACCACAAAAGAGTGTTCCATATTATTGAATTATTTTGTGGAATACACTGGACCTATACAGATGTCTGATAAAAGTGTCTTCAATAATTTCTCTCTTCTTATTTTAGGCCATGAAGTTTCTAAATTTCACAACTTAATAATTTGACAATTTCATTTATAGAAACCTAATTCCATTTTGATGTTGCCATTTACATTTCAGAATTAATATTTAAAATAATCAATATATCAGATAGGATATAGAGCTTGAGCTAGCCCAAATAAACAATAAAACATAGACATACCTACCAATAGTTAAAAAGGCTTCTGAAACACTGGCCTTTTCATGCATAGCAAATAGAAATGTTGTCTTCAATCTTCTTTCTACCAAGAGTTGCCATTTCAACCAGTGTAAAAACAGACAAACAAAAATTTGAAATGCTAGTTTGAAAATTATTTCTATGAGAATCAGACATGGTTTCAGCATTAAATCCCTCAGTCCCATCTCTCCCTAGAGTATAGAGATACATACATAAATACAAAAATAGATGATGTGTCAACTTGAATTGCGTTTCTGAATGTCTAGGATTGCCCTAAAAGCCATGTCAGGTTAGTGTTCCTTTTTATCAGATCTCTTTTATAAATGGAAAAAGGGAGAGAGATATGGAAGGAGGCCCGCTCCTGACTTTTTTTTCCTTTCTAGTTAAAGATGCAAATTCTAAGTTGTTTGAAAACTGCTTAGGATACTGTTAATTACACATATCCTTCTAAAAAACATAAGTAGATTTTTAAAAGAAAAAAATTCATTTTTCTTCCCTTCATTTAGCAAGCATTTCTGATAGAAAGTTTTTAGGATCAATTGGGGCTCCCTTTCTGACTTTTCCAGTTACCCTAGGCCTTTTGGGGAGTGTTAAAAGAGCTCTTGAAAAAATATCCTTGTCTAGATTAAATCCTGGGGGATTAAAAGGATGAGATTTCATATTTTCCCTAGAAACATAGCACTGAGCAGGCAGTCTCCCATATATCAGTCAAAATTTTCTAGAATGTGTTTTGGCATGTTGAGAGAAAAGGAATGGAACTCCCACCCAGTCTGCCACAAATACCACCAGGTAGGTCCTCCACTAGCTGTAGTTCAGCT